ACCAGTACCAGTTGCCTTTGGGTCAATTGTGACTCATGGAAACCCCATGTCAGAGTAGAACTGTTCTCCACAGGGTTTTCAATGGCTGATGTTTTAGAAGTAGATCTCCAAGTCTTTCTTCCAAGGCATTTCTGAGTGGACTGGAATGGCCAACCCTTAAGTTAGCAGCTGAGCACAATAACTGATGGCACCACCCAGGGACTCCTTTAAAATATAGTTCAATATAATTATAAAGTTAAATAATGACAGTCAGTGCGGTTACCATTTTCTCCAATGACATCTGCATGTAAACTGAGAATTCTGATTCCTGGTCAATGGCACATATTTTCCTGTTACCTTCATCCACTGGCAACTTGACCTTGTAACAGCCGACACAATGACAGAGTACTTCTTTCTGGTTGGATCCTTTTCCTGGTAGTGAAGAAAATAATTAAAAGAGGAAGATCTTTAATAGATTTTAATGTACATATAGAAGAATATATAAATTATCTCACCCATTTTAATTCTAGTAGAGATTAGGGTAAGACCAGTGAATCTCTAACTTCCCTTCCATCTATGGAGTGGAACTCAAGACTCAATTCTTATAAAAACAAACATTAAAATGCCAACAAACCCCAATACTACCTAATAGAGTTTTATAGTAGTGTTTGATTGTTTCCCTGAAAGGAAAAATGCTTTTGAGAGAAACCTTTGGTATTTTCTGTAACGCCTGAGAAATTTCATTAGTTACTAAAGAGTTCTCCACTTAATCTTTGGAATGTGTCATTTTATTGTTATAGGTTAGACTCTCATTTGCATAGGGATTTTTATGTTGGATTTTTAAACTATAATCCACTAAAAAGTAATTTCCCCAGTTTCTTAAATTTGAGAAATATAGTATATTGATAATCTTCTATCTAACTTGGTATCTAATAATTTGTAAAACATTACCCTCCTCTGTGGCAGATTGTTCCCTTCAACTGCTTATACTGTTATGCTTATAGGCTATTTAGTAACAAGACATCTGTTCAGAAATCCCCCTAGAAACTTTCCTACATTATTTACATAACTCTCCTAAAAAAAGAGAGGGGTTGCTTTACCTACAAAAGAAAAAAAAGAAAAAGCATTAACCCACCACGTCAATAAATGATTCTGATTTGTTAACTGACCCATCACTGTCTTTTATACACTGATTGGCTTCGTCAGTCTTTCTCTTCTGCTCTGGAAAATGGTTTAGTAGTAATTTAATTTAATAGTAATGGTAAATGCTACTTTTATGTTCTCTGAATTAAAAGCAAACTTTTCATGATTTTTATGTAATGATTTTAATTTCACAAATCAATAAGTTTCTCTAAATAGCTTATAGCATGAATTTTTAAAGTACTGAACTTTTGTCTACTTATTTTTTCCTGCAAGCTTAATATACTTGCCAAAAGTTTCCACATCATTAAAGCTTTCATCTTGTCTAAAAATAAAAAACCAAGAAAAAAATTTAAATGCCAATTAAGATCCAAAATCAACTATTTTCAGTCTCAAGTTTCAAATGTCAAAATTTGTTTTTACCTAATTCTAGTAAATTTATATAGTGTAATTCTAGACCTCACTATTTGACTTTTCCAGGCTGAAGAAAAGCAGTAGAAACGTCTCAACATCTGTGTTGCTTTTGGAAACTAGCACCTCCCATCTGTGGTCTGGGTGATGCGGCGTCCAGGCTAGTCATTAAAAGCGTGCTTCGCATTCACCACTGCAGCTCTGAGAGGAATTTGGACTCTAGGAGTTACGTGTTACCTAAGAGCTGAACGTTCTGGAGAATGGCTGTCTTTGAACAACGTAACGACATAAGGGTTAGGTGACTTTTTAAATTCAACATACCACAAATGGGTATACAGATTCGGAGCGGGGGTGTGGGGAGAGGAAGCGATGGAAAGACCAAGTAAAGGTCGTGTCTTTTGAGTTTTTGAATACACTCCATTTTCTTCTACTGAATCAGCTAGTATTTCTGAAGCCATTGAATTTCTGATTTCTAAGGAGTTTGTTTTTTCCAAAACAAAAGTGGGAAGTGTTGTTTTTCACTATAAAGAGGTTCTAACTAGACTTCAGTTTTTAAAAGATGGTGGAGTACAACTATATCCCGGTGGATATACCTAGAATTCGTGGCGAAACGCAGAACTGGCCAAAACGCGTGGGGTGGGGGGCAGGGTAGGAGGTGTTTCTGCCTTTCTCCTTAGAAGGGGGCAGGTAGTGAGGTTGCTAACTAAGCTACAGAAAACAGAAGGAGGAAGACAGATTCCATTAGCTCAAGCAATATACAAAACTGCTAGTTATTTTTTGTTTGTTTTGCGACAAAAGTTGGTTTTAAACAGATAACCACCACCCCCACCACCCCAAAATCTGAATTGGCCTCAAATGCACCTTCAATTCGTCTTTCTCCTCCCATCTTCAACTTTTGTCCTCTTGTCCTACTTGCTCCTGATATGAAATTTGACAAATAGCAAAAATTTAGAAACAAAAAGAGAGAGAGAGAGACTGTATTTTGCCACCCTCCTGGCTAACCGAAATGCTAGTTCCCGAGATTACAGTAATTACAGCCCCAGCGTGAGTTCCATACAAGCGCTAAATGAAACAGCACGTCAATTAAAAAATAAACACTCGATTCTAGGAGAAAGACAACCCCCTGGGACGTCCTAACAAGCGCAAATGAACCTGCCAGGCCGACTGCCCCTCCGCCTCCTCCTCCCCGCGCCCAATCTTAAGGTGGTTGGTGGAGTTGGCGGGGGCAGCGCTAATTGGCGGCGTCACAAGTGGCAGCTAAAAGCTCTGGCCCGGCCCCCTTCTCTGGAAGATCACGGATAGGTGTCCGCTTATCCGCGCCAGGAGCGCAGCCCCGCCTCGAAGGAGCCCGGGGGTGTATCAGACCGTAGAAAAGGAGGCTTTGGCAAAAACAGATGAACTTTGGAGAGTTGTATATACGCTCCAAAAGTACGAGAGGAAAAGAGAGAAACCAGAAGCAGAGTTTTCAGTCTGTCCTATTTATAAGTTTTCTTTTCTTTTTTAAAGAATTATTTCTCATAAGGAAGAACTGTACCCTGGATGTTTTATATGTTTTATGTCACCTAATTATCAGAACCCTTTTTGAGATCTGGACCATGATCACCCCATTTTGCAGGTAAGGAAACTGAGGTTCAAAGACGATAACTACCTTCCCCAAGGTCATGCAGCGGAGGTGGGAGGCGAACCCCTACCACCACCTTTGCCAGACCCTGCGCCCCTGAGCTTTGGCTGCCTCTCACTAGCGGACGGCTGCGGCTGGGGTCACGGCCCTCACCCAATCCAGCGCCACCATTCAGAATGAAGTGAGTTGCTGACTGCCCCCACATATCCAAGCCTCAAAGATCAACTTCTCAGAACCCCAAGGAGAGCTCCCCTTTCCGATCCTCCACTACGCACTCACAAGGGGGTAAGCCCCACCCCGCCTCTGCCACTCCAAAGAAGCCTTCGCACACTCACCTGCAGGGGCTCCGCTCCTCCCCCGGCTCACGAAGGGGCTTGGAACCCCTGCCGCCGGCAGGTCACCCCACATTCGGGGAAGGATAATGGAGGGAGGGACTTTACTGATCTGAAATAGGTCTGGGGAGGCACGCGGCATAAAATCACTTCTCAGTCCCCAAAGTGCAGACTCAGGGAAATGGGACCAAGACCTCAGACGGGCTGAGTGCCTAGGAACATGCACGACAAACGCGGAGCCAGGAGCAGCCAGGGGATTCGTGGGCTTCCAGGGGATTCGTGGACTTCCGGAGGCCGCTCTGAGTCTCCGTTTCTCCGGTCACTCCCAAGGTTATCAAAACCGAATTTCCATCACCAGAAAGCGCAAATTTACGTCCAGACACTGTGGACCGCCTTAAGGAAGATTGAGTCTTGGGAGTGGGTAGACTCCGCCCCTGTCGCCCGATGATTGGCTGGTCCGTCCGGGGGCGGAAACTGAGTCCGCTCTGTATAAATATTCATGAGCCGGGCTGCTCGGCGCGAGCAGGGGCTGGAGACTGGAAGTTGGGTAAAGGGCGCTGCTCCCGCCGAGGAGGTGGTGGCGCCGGTGGCTCCAGCCAGGACCGTTCAGCTCAGGTGTTTTCCCGTTGCCTTTTGGTCTGGATTTTTGTTTTTCGTTTTAGCAAGAAGACAACTGTCTGCAACTCGTTCGATTACTCGCAGTAGCACGGCGCGGACTTTTACCCAGAGGCGGGGATTTGTCTGTCCCGGCTGGCGGACCTACTGACGGACTGCGGGGAGAAGAGGCAGCGGTCTCGGTGGAGGCGAGGTCCCCGCCGAACTCGGGGAGCCGGCGGCGGCTGTGGGAGCAGGAATGTGCCACCTGGGGGAGAGAGCGGGCTGGAGAGGTTGACCCCGGACTTGGGGAGTGCGCCTGGCTCAGCCATCTTGACTGCATCACGGGGACTGGAGAGGAAACTTGCTGCTCCGCCACCTTCTGTGCTCAGCAAAGTCGCCGCCAGCCCTGGAGTCGCGGCGGAAAAGTGGCCGCGGCGCGTAGGGAGAGGGAGAAAGCAAGTGCAGGAAGATGAGCCTGAGGCCAGCAACTCTCCTCCGCGAGAGCTGAAATCGGACCGAAATAAGCAGGGGAAAAGACCCGCCTGCAGCCCACCCCCTAATTTTCTCGGAACTCTGCGATCCGAGGAGGGGGGAGTGCGGCGCTGCGCTTTCTCCCCGGCTCCCCAGAGTGGCCGGCCAGGCGGCGGAAGGGAGGTTTGGACAGATTCCTGCCCAGCCTTCCGGACCGCGCCGCTGGGACTCTGCCCCTGCGAAGGGGCTCGGCTTTCCGCAGACTCCCCTCCCGAGGAGAAGGGGGCCGGCAGGACAGAAAAGCCCCAGGCGCCCGGGTTTCTTCCTCTCCTTCTCTCTCCTCTGGTTTCCCGGTGCCCCTCCCCGTGCCTCCAGGCCGGGGCCGGGAGAAGCGCGCCGCGTGGAGAGGCTAGGACACGGCGGCGGCGTGCGGGGCTGAGGCGCCCAGCATGGAGTGGAGTTACCTGTTGGAAGTGACCTCGCTGCTGGCCGCCTTCACGCTGCTGCAGCGCTCGAGCGGCGCGGCGGCCGCCTCGACCAAGGAGCTGGCATGCCAGGAGATCACGGTGCCCCTGTGCAAGGGCATCGGCTACAATTACACCTACATGCCCAACCAGTTCAACCACGACACGCAGGACGAGGCGGGCCTGGAGGTGCACCAGTTCTGGCCACTGGTAGAGATACAGTGCTCGCCCGACCTCAAGTTCTTCCTGTGCAGCATGTACACGCCCATCTGCCTGGAAGATTACAAAAAGCCGCTGCCGCCCTGCCGCTCGGTGTGCGAGCGCGCCAAGGCCGGCTGTGCGCCGCTCATGCGCCAGTACGGCTTCGCCTGGCCGGACCGCATGCGCTGCGATCGGCTGCCGGAGCAGGGCAACCCCGACACGCTATGCATGGACTACAACCGCACGG